CCCCCCCCCCCCCCTGTTTGTATATTTTCGTAAATATTATATTTTTATATTTTCTACGTTCGCCTTGTAGAAAATAGGATATTTTGTAGAAATATATTGAGAAAGGTAAAAAATATCTTTCAGTATTTGATGCTTTAAGCAAGTAAGCTCAATATTTAGCGATAAATCGTGCTTATTTGTAACATTATTTAATATGTAAATATTGTAATTGATTGTAATTTGTGTTTTAGTGACCCGCTAGAAGATCCTCTGTACATTCCGTATTATAAAAATTTTATTGGCACATCTATTGATTCCCCGATCGTAACGGATGCTGATGACTCGAAATATAAAATCGAAATTATTGAGAATTTTAATCTGCAGGAAGAATTGAATCGCGATATAAAGAAAGACCATGAACTATCCGATAATTCCTACGACAAGTATATGTACGAAACCAAATTTAAGCTCCACTTGATACGATTCAAATTGAAAAGCTGGTCGTATATTTAGTGCGACATTGTTTAACTTAATTATAATTTGTATTTTAGTGTGCTACCTCGTGAATCGATTCAGAACGTATCGCTTTCCGAAAATAGTAATACTTCGGTTACGGATCGTCCGGAAGCCTATGATGTCAACTCAGGGGTGATCGCCAGGGTGGAATCAGAGTCCTTTTCGGAGTGTACTGCATGCCACAAACGTTTCAAATACAAGACCGACTTTGAGAAACATAGGAACTTGAATTATTGTCTGCAATGCCATATTTGCTATCAGAAGTTTGACTTGTTAGAAGAATTCAATCTTCACATTAAGACGCATCGTAAATTTATGAGCTACGATTGCTACGTGTGTTCCTACAAGACAGATACGGTGAAGTATTTGACTGAACACATGAAATCGGAACAGAACACCACCGATATATGCAAATGTGTCATATGCACTAAAACATTTAAACGATTGCGTAGTCTTAAGAAACATAAAGAAACAGTGCACGCGGATAACACACAGTCGATAATGCGACAAGTGTGGTGGCATCTTTAAGGACAAATATATTCTACAGAACCACCTAAGAAACCACACAAAGGCGAACTCTGAAATGTTCTGCATGCGGCAGATGTTTCAAAAACAAAGTTTTCTTCGAGAAACACACGAGATTGAATAATTGCTTGCAATGCATAATATACCACCAGAAGTTTGACCTGCTAGAAAAATTATATCGTCACGGTGAGACGTGTTGCAGAGTATCCCTACAGCAAGTTTTCCATCAAGGCAAATACATTGAAATATTTGAGTGAACACATGAAATCGGAACACATATGAAACGTAAGGAATGATAAGCCAGTATACGAAAGTCTTTCGTATAGTTACCGTTCGACTGCTGAAAAATGAAATTCTATGAATTTCTCGCATTAACGCACGAGACGTATCGAGTTGTTAAATTATTTGTGCGCAAAAAATGTTGTACGTGAAAAAATAAAGTGTCCACGTTGCGAAAATATTGTTAAATTTAATACAGAAGAATCATTAATTATTTAACTGCAATCTCAAACGACTAGCGGGGGGTTGTGCCCCCCTAAAAACCAACCTATCGTCACATTAAGTGCCAGTCATTGTTTATTAAAGTGTTCAACTTTTGTGTTAATGTGACGATAAGTTGGGTTAAATTAGTTTTGAGGGGGGGTGCGGGGGATGCAACCCTCCGCTAGTCGTTCGATATTGCTTGTTAACGGTACACAGTATCGAAAAATTGTAATATATTTTTCGAACTTCTTTCATCAATAACTTTTTAACAAACAATGAGCGACGGCTAAAACTTTCTGAGAGTTATTCAGGAGAGTGACCTCTACAACATATGTCAAAGTCAAGGTAATCGGAGGGTGGTCCGTTATTCTGCATACTTATCATAATTTCTTCCCCGCCTCCCGCCCTGCTTGCATATTTTCGTAAATATTATATATTTTCATACTTTATATGTTCGCCTTGTAGAAAATAGGATATTTTGTAGAAATATATTGAGATAAAAAGCTAAAAAAATATTTTTCAGCAGTTGATGTTTTAAGCATGTGAGCTCAATATTTAGCGGTAAATCATGCTTATTTGTAACATTATTTAATACGATCGTAATTTATGTTTTAGTGACCTGCTAGAGGATCCTCTGTACTTTCCGTATTTTAGACGTTTTATTGGCTCATCTATTGATTCCTCGATCGTAATGGATGCTGGTAACTGGAAACATAAGCTTGAAATTATTAAGAACTCCAATCTGCAAGAAGAATTGAATCGCGATATGAAGAAAGACCATGGACTATCTCGTAATTCCTGTGATAAGTACGTGTACGAGACCAAATTTAAATTCCACTTGACACGACTCAAATTGAATAGTTGATCATATTCAGTGTGACATTGTTTAACTTAATTATAATTTGTGTTTTAGTGTGTTACCTCGTGAATCGATTCAGAATGTATCATTTTCCAAAAATAGTAATACTTCGGTTACGAATCATCCGGCAATTTTGGATGGCTCAGGGATCGCCAAAAAGCCAAGACATGAAGTTTCGAAGAAGGTTAAAAGTACTTATAAGAGAAAGCAATTGGACGAGTGTTTTATATGCGGTAAACGTTTCCGAAAGAAGTCCACCTACGAGAGACACATGGAATGGGATGATTGCCTGCAATGTAAATATTGCGACAAGAGGTTTGACTTACGAAAAGAATTATATTGTCACTATAAAACGTGTCGTAAATTTAAATATACCTGTCGCGTGTGTTCTTACAAGGCAAATTCAGATACTTGTTTGAATGAACATATAAAATTGGAACACAAGGACCTCTTCAGTGATAACATATTTAATTGTACCAAATGCCCCAAGAAGTACCAATCGTGGCAAGCTCTTAAAAAACATGAAACAGTTCACGCGAGGATCACACCACCTGTAAAATGCAGACAGTGTGGTAGCATCTTTAAGAGCAAATATATTCTACTGACTCATATGAGCAAAGAACACCCAGATAAAGAAACGTATGCTTGTACGCTTAACTGTTTTGTCAGTTTCGAAACGCAGGAAAAATTGGATCAACATAATGCCAAGCATCACAATTGGTCTTGCCCGAAATGCAAGAAAAAGATATTACTAACCTGTAATAGACAAGCACACCTGCGACTTCATAGCAATTACAAACCTTATATCTGCGACGAATGCGGCAGCGGGTATGCTTCTAGAGGCGCTCTGATCAATCACAAGAGATTAACACACACTAATTTAAAGGGGAAACTTCCTCTTAGAACGTTGCCGAAAAGAAAAAACAAGAGACGCATTGTTGTAGACTTTTCGACAGAAGAAGAAAGCGATGATTTAGATCAATTAAAAGATTTAGATCAATTAAAAGAAGAGGAAAAGGCATAAATAATATGTTTACTGCCCTCTTTTCGGTGGATTTTCGTGAACGAGTGTATTTCTACGAATATTATTGTTGTAAATTTTGTTTATAATTACTTACGCTGAGTTTATAATTACTTACGCTTTTTATAGATTTTTAATAGGTTTAATAACTCTTTATATGCGGAATAATAAGCGCGATATGTAAGAAAGAATTCGAGAATGACATTACGATGGATTGTATATATATACATATATATATGTACATATGTGTATATGTACATATGTTATGTACATATATATCGTTTACTTAAGGTAAACGTAGTATTAGTGTCATGTCTTTTGTAAGACGATGAATCTCGATAATTAAAGTACAATCCTTATGCAGTATACTTCTGAACAAGACTGTTTTTTTACGAAATGCTATTGCACTTCTCATTAAAGCATTTTATTTAAGCTGATAATTTTTCTGGGAAATGTTATATTTGTACTTACCTTGTAACAAACATATAGTTGTGATATGTTTTAATATTTATGTTGATTCTTAGTGTACAATAAATAGAAAATTAAGAATTAAAGGCCAAATAAATGAAAAAATAAAGGATATATTATATTATTTTGATATTACATCTTTTATAGGAGATTCTATGTGTGTCTTACAATAACGATAAATTACGATGGTTGTGCAGTAAGTATTGTTACCGGCGAATATTTAAGTGATAAAACCTCAAATAAGTATAGAAAAAATTTTCCTCCAATTTGCTTAATTCGTACTTATTGTCTTTATGTTTGTATCTTATCTCTTTATTTAATTTTTTTATAAAAACAGTTGATGTGTATACGAACTTTTAATATTAGATGCTTTTAATTTACATCCCAGTGAGAAATGACTTATCGATCGACGTCGAAAAGACGTCAAATCGACGTCGAAATCGTCAAATCGACGTCGATTCGACGTCCATCGGTAAGTCATTTCTCACTAGGATAATTCTCGATCTTTATATTTACGACTTAATTTCTTCTCTCCTCCTCCCGCCCTTGTATATTCTCGTGAAAATTATATTTTTATACTTTCTATGTTCTCCTTGTAGAAAATATTATTATTAGATATTTTGTAGAAATATATTGAGATAGAAATATATTGAGCTAAAAAAATATTTTTCAGCGTTTGATGCTTTAAACAAGTAAGCTCAATATTTAGCGATAAATCGTGCTTATTTGTAACATTATTTAATACGATTGTAATTTGTGTTTTAGTGACCCGCTAGAGGATCCTCTGTACTTTCCGTATTATGAAAATTTTATTGGCACATCTATTGATTCCCCGATCGTAACGGATGCTGATGACTCGAAATATAAGATCGAAATTGTTGAGAACTTCAATCTACAGGAAGAATTGAATCGCGATATAAAGAAAGACCATGAACTATCTGATAATTCCTATGACAAGTATGTGTACAAAACCAAATTTAAGCTCCACTTGATACGATTCAAATTGAAAAGCTGGTCGTATATTTAGTGCGACATTGTTTAACTTAATTATAATTTGTGTTTTAGTATGCTACCTCGTGAATCGATTCAGAACGTATCGCTTTCCGAAAATAGTAATACTTCGGTTACGGATCGTCCGGAAGCCTATGATGTCAACTCAGGGGTGATCGCCAGGGTGGAACCAGAGTTCTTTTCGAAGTGTACTGCATGCCACAAACGTTTCAGATACAAGGCCGACTTTGAGAAACACAGGAACTTGAATGATTGTCTGCAATGCGAAACTTGCTATCAGAAGTTCGACTTGTTAGAAGACTTCAGTCGTCACATTAAGATACATCGTAAATCTATGAGCTACGACTGCTACATGTGTTCCTACAAGACAGATACAGTGAAATATTTGACTGAACACATGAAATCGGAACATAACACCACCGATATATGCAAATGTGTCATATGCTCCAAAACATTCAGTCGACGGAGTAATCTTAAGAAACATAAAGAAATAGCTCACGCGGATAACACACAGTCGATAAAATGCGACAAGTGTGATGGCGTCTTCAAGAACAAATATTGCCTAAAGATCCACCAGCGCAGAATACACTCAGAGGCAAATTTTTTTTGCAAAAGGTGTGGATTTACCTTCAAAACGCAGGACGAACTGGACCAACATAATGCCGAGCGTCACGATTGGACCTGCCCGCAATGCAACAAAAAGATATTAGTATTCTCTAATATAGAACCACACTTGCGACTTCATAGGAATGAAAAACCTTTTATCTGCGACACTTGCGGCAACGCGTATGCTTCTAAAAGGACTCTGAGCAACCACAGGAAATTAATACACAGTAATTTAAGGAAACATCGTCCTAGTTCCTGAATCGTTGCCGATACTCAAGAAAAATATTGTTGTAGACTCTTCGACGGCTCGTGAGACGAAAGAAAGCGATCATTTATATCAAAAAAAGGAAAGGGAAAGGCAGAGAAATAATATGTTTACAGTATTCTTTATGTTGCATTTTCGTTAAGTGTCTTTCTGCGAATGTCACTATTGTGAATTTTGTACTGAGTTAATAATTACTTACGCTTTTTATAGATTTTTAATAGATTTAGTGACTCTCTATACGCGGAATAATAAGCGCGATATGTAAGAAAGAATTGGAGAATGACTTTACGATGGATTGTGTACATGTACATATATTATTTTGTTTACATATATTATTTTGTTTACTTACTAAGGTAAATGTAGTAGTAATGTCATATCTTTTGTAGGACGATGAATCTCAATGAAAGTACAATCCTTATGCAATATACTTTCGAACAAGACTGTATTTTACGAAATGCAGATGCAGTTCTTATTAAAGTATTTTATCCAAATTGATAACTTTTCTGGGAAATTTATTGTCATGTTTGTATTTACTTTGTAACAAACATATAGCTGTCATATGTTTTAATATTTTTATTAATTCTTGGTATGCGATAAGTACGGCAGAAAAGCAAGAATTAATGACCAAATAAGTGGAAAAATAAACAATATATTATATATTATATAACAATATATTACATATACATATATTATTTTGATATTATATCTTTTATGGGATTGTATGTGTGTCTTACGATAACGAAATTACCACAGTTGTGAGTATTATTACCGGCAAATATTTAAGTGATAAAACATCAAATAAATGTAGAAAAAATTTTCCTTTAATTTACTTAATTTGTACTTATTGTCTTCGTCTTTTATTTGTATCGTATCTCGTTATTTAATTTTGTTGTGAAAACGTATTGATGTAATAATTTTTAATATTAGTTGCGTAATTTAAATAATTTTTAATCTTTGTATTTACGACTTAATGTGCCCTTCCCCCCTCATATATTCTCGTAAATATTATGTTTTTATACTTTCTACATTCGCCTTGTAGAAATTAGGATATTTTGTAGAAATATATTAAGTTAGAAAACTAAAAAAGATTTTTCAGCATTTGATGCTTCAAGTAAGTAAGCTCAATATTTAGCGATAAATCGTTCTTATTTGTGACATTATTTAATACGATCGTAATTTATGTTTTAGTGACCCACTGGTGGATCCTCTGTACATCCCGGATTCCAAAAGCGTTAATGATCAATCTATGGCTTCGCCGAGTGTTCCGGATGCCAACAATTTGGAATGTTCGTCCGTTGAAAATTCTGTCGACTCGTCTCTATATAAAAGTAAGCTTCGCAGAAGAAGAAAAACGACCCTCGCGTCGAGAAAAGAAAGTCATTGTCACGCGATGCAAGATTCTAGACGACATTCAAGAAGACAGAATGTCAAACGGAAGAAAATCAACGAGAAGATGAAGTCCTATTCGAAATGCGGCACATGCGGCAAGTGTTTCAGCTGGGATGCCATGGTAAAACACTTGAACGAGCCTAAGTATTCCTGTCAAAACTGCCGCCAGGTCTTCTGTGTGGAGGTACAGCTAAATCGTCACGTCGCAACGGTTCACGGAGAGCCCATATATTCCTGCAGTATTTGCGAATACAAAAGCAAGAACAAGCGCACCTTGACAGATCACTTTATACGAAAACACACGGAAGAAGATCAGTTTTCATGCAACAAACAATTGGCGATTCAGGATGGCCAGGAGCAGCAAGCAAATCGAGTACGTAGTGGCAAGTCGTCCATCACCTGCAGTATATGCGGCCACGTCAGCAAAAACGTACGTGCTATCAAAGCACATATGAAGTACCGTCACTACAAGCCGCAGTTTGTCTGCGAGATCTGCCGTCGTGGCTTGACTACGCAAAAGAACCTCGAGCAACACCTCGAATGGCACGAGACCAGGGAGAATAAGGAGTGTCCGACCTGCCACAAGAAGTGCCGTGTTCGCGACCTCAAACAACACATGCAAACTCACAGCGATGCGAAGCTGTTTTCCTGTCCCGTCTGTGACAAGACGTTCCGAGAGCAGTACTATCGGGAGCAACATATGTTGCTTCATACGGGCAAGAAACCTTACATATGCAGCATTTGCAACCTGACATTCACCCAGAAACGTCGTCTGATTGCTCATAGAAAAACTCATCCCGGGCCACTTCCTCCGCTACCGGTGGTTCCTGTCGAAAAAATCATTGCGGAATTCATGAAGAAATACACGAAGAAAAATACAATCAACAAAAATAACACCAAATAAAAATACACAGGAAAGAGAGATATACAAATAGAAAAAGAAAATTCGTTTTGTTTTTGATATATCTTTTGACAAGAAAATCCTTTGTGAATGCACCTGCAGTCTTTCTCCCATTAATTTTTCGACATAGAATGTGTTTTTTCTTGTATTGTATTTTTTGTGCACAGTTTGTAATAAAGATATATGATTTTTTGTAAAATCGTGATGCATTTACCCAATACACAAAACATTAGCAGTATATCGATAGATTGGTAGATTCGATCAAAATACTATAGCAAGTTCATAGCCATCTGTGTCTCCATGAAACTCGTCAGCAGAGCTTGCTGACATAACTTGATAGCAAATTAGTAGCAGAACAGGAGATCTGCAGTATATGTTTTATTTAAATATATTCTAATGTTTTATTTAAATATATTTAAATAGGTTTATATATATATATATATATATATATATATATATATATATACGGAAAAACAATATATTTTGCTCGATTTTTGCCTAACAATCCTATATTCTGCTAGCAGATCTCGTTGCATTTCTGCTAGCAAGCTGCCGACAAAATTTACAGCAGACACTATGCATATTCTGCTAGTTTATTTATCTGGATATTAATTTTCCATGATAACAAGTGCAGTATGTACGAAAGAATTGAAGAGCGTTCATATAAAGTTTGCATATGATGTTTTATTTTCTTGAAATGGACATGATAAATTAGATCTTTCATTGAACGACGAGGCTTACGCAAAGAATATACTCAGAAAACACAAATTACTAAAAGAAATAAAATAT